GGAAATGAAGGCAGGCGTCATGCATGAATAGCTAAAATTCATGTACAGGTGATTTCCGAATAACAAATAGGCACATTGATAAAATAATTACATGTACAACCTGACCATTTCGTACTGTGTGTAAATTTTCATTTACTCATTCCATCTTAAAATATTTACTCCAATTTACATAGTGTTGGTAAGTTTTCAGTTACTTATTAAAATGCATGCAATTTAAATTAATAAATAAAAGAAAAAAATTTTACATATAGAGACTTCTTCAATAATTTTAATTTTGAAATGTTGATTACAAAATTGCAAATTTTTTTACTCGTTTCATCGCGAAATATTTACTTTAATTAACGTAATGTGGGTAAGCTTTCGTTTCTAAACCCACAATTGTTCAATGCTTTGAAGCCTTCTCACAGCTTTTGGAGCTTGATGCGTGCTCTCGCCCCCTTGTACGGTTTTTATCCATGTTTTGTCCTTGGTAAGTTTTCTTGTTTTCTCTCTCTCCCTCCCTTCTTCCTCTGTTTCTTCTTTCCTTAATTTGCTTCCTCCTCCCTCTGTTTTCTCTCTTTTCTTTCTTCCCTTTTAACTTTTTTTTTTATTTTTTTATTTTGCAGTTTCTCTCTTATATAAATTAGATGAAGTGGGGATGGGGAAGAAAAAGATAGAAGTCAAAATATTGTAGATCTAGCTTCTCTAATTCATGGCATTAGCAAAGATGGTGCTAACTAATACCACTTATTAAATCATCAAGTCAATATTACTTATTAAACTTTAGTGCATTAAAACTTAAAAATTAAAAAAGACTAAAATTTTATTAATGTATAAATAATTTTTTTATTTATTAGTTAATTTTAATTTTAAATTATGATATTTTTTAGATATTTCAATATTTTTCTTTAAATTAGAACGATGATTATCCCTTTATTTTTTACCGTTAGCTAAAAATTGAAAAGTAAATGAATTCAAATTAAAATTATTGTTTTATCCACAAAATAAAAAAATTGAAAAATTTTTGTTTAAATCTAATTTGAATCTTATATAACAATTCTTTTAAATTAGGTAATTTAATTGGAATTCAAGATTAATTTTATTAAATTTTTAATTTAAATTTATGATTAATTTCATTGTATTATTTTTCTAGATTTCAAATTAATAATTCAATAGAACTTATATGGAATAATGGAACTCGTCAGTTTTACAACATTATACTACCTACTAAATTTTGTTGCTATTAAGGCCCAAAATGCATTAAGACCCAAAAATTTTAAAAGGATTAAAATTTTATTGGTGTCGAAATAACTCTTTTACTTATCAGTTGATTTTAATTTCTTCTTTTTTAAAATTAATTTCAAATTGTGATTTTATTTCAATATTTCAATATTTTCTTCTTTTAGTTAAAATGGTGATTATCTATTCATTTTTCTTTGTTAGCCAAAAACTCAATGCTAAATGAATTCAAATTAAAATTATTACTTTATTCACAAGATTAAAAAAATTAAAAAAACCTACTTAAATCTAATTTAAATTTTATATAATAAAAACCCTTGTAATTTATTTAGAATTAAAAATTCACCTTATTAAATTTTAAATGTGAATTCATAATTAATTTCATTGTATTATTTTAAAAATTTTTGAATTAATAAATTAATAAAACTCATACCAAATAATAAAACTATCATTTATATATATAAATAAAAAATAAAACCCCTCTTTCTTTAAAGAATAAGAAAGAATCTATTAAAAATTGTTTAATTCTTTTCAAAACAAAAAAAATTAAATCAATAAATATAAATTTAAAATATAATCCCTTGCGTAGCAGGTGGTAACCACTAATTATTTACTCCGTAAAAAAAAAAAAAAAAACGATTTAAAGCTGTTCAAATCAAATTCGAAATGTCCTAATTACGAATGCGTCTATAAATACGCTAGCTATTATAAAGAATTATGTGTAGATTTAAACTCTTTCATCTTAAGAGTGTAGCTATTGTTAGTATAAAAAAATGTTAAAATTATTAATTATTAATTTTTAAATAAATTTTAAAATAT